TACATTTCACCGTTTTTTATGTAATTCATGTGCTTTCCCCTCTCTAACTTTTGTCTATAGTTGTACTTTTCACCTTTTTTAAGTACTTCATCCAATTTCTCCTCTCATTTCTTAAATACCGTGAAAAAACACAAATATGAACTATATATTGGGATGGAGGGAGTACTATTTTATTCTTTTACCTAAAACTATTGTACCCAGCACTTCAAAACAAAAAAAAAAAAAATGGAGGGAGTAAATCTCTTACTCTATATATCTCTCCTCTTTAATAAAAAAAAAAGTATCCACATGCATGGTCCCATTTTCACTTTTACTTGGCTTGAGCTACAATAGTAAATCTCCTCTTTAATAAAAAAAAAGTATCCACCTAGTCACAAATCATAAGAATTACAATTTCCCATAAAACATGCGAATTTATTCACTTAACCCACCCTAGAATTTACAATTCCTATAATTTATAAATTTTACATTTTTTTTATGGTAAACTACGGGGAGGGCCCTCCACCCTATCACAGAAGTGGGGACTATGAGGAATTGAACCCCCATCACATTGGGGGGAAATGGGGGACTAACCATCCCTCCATCTCCTCATTTATAAATTTTACATGACAAACATAGTTGAGTTTTCCTATAAATTTTATATAGCAAATAATTTCTCATACTTTAAAATTTTCCATGAAAATTAATTTCCTAAGTCAACTAAACGAGGACTTTGACTTTTGATGGAGTACTATTCATTGACTTTACTTTGAATAGATTTTGTGATATATAATTATAATAAAATATTTTCATGTGGGATCTTGTTATAGCTTTCTTAATGTATTTTAACTTTTTATATTTACTTATTAATAATTAGTGATATTTATAGACATCTACTTTTGGTCCCCTGTCCCGACCGAAAGTGCTATGACGATAAATAAAATGATCTTTGTGTTGGATCAACGTGAAGAATACTTATGCATTGCTGATTAAGGCTTAAACACATAAAACAACTAGCTTGACCCAATACGAAATGAACCAAAGCTGACTAAAACTAAGCCCGATCAATAATTAGGCTTAATCCCAAAGATTAAACTTAATTTTGACGAATTTAGAGGTGCCTAGGTCAAAATCTGAGGCTGTCGGGCAGGAAAATCATGCGCAACTCAAGGAGTCGCGCTGGCATGGCGCGCGCAACCCACAAGGTTGCGCGTAACGTCCAGCGCAACCTCTAGTGGTGCGCTCGCGAAAGATTCAGAATTTTATAAAAATGCTGAATCGAATCTTACCACAAAGCCACGCACAAGACGATTAGTTGCCCTGCCCTCATCAGCGCAACTCAACCACTTGCGTGCAGCAGCCACGCGCGACCTTTCGAGATGCGTGCGCCACTTGCTGCGGAAGAATGTTCAAAACCCTAAATTCACCCATTCCCTATAAATAGGGGTGCAATACGAAGCTTTGAACACACAGAAATTAACCCAGAATGTTAGCAGAAACCTTGTGATCTTATGCACTGATCATTCCCCTTGTCCTAAACACTCACCACTTTAATCATTTGTTCTTACAGTGGAGGTTCCCAAACAAGAAGGAGCCTATAAGTGTTCTAAACGAAGATCTAGCAAGGAAAAGTGGTAAAATCCCGAGCACTTAGATAAATCACCTTTTCTTTCCTTGTTTAAACAACTTTTAATCAACAAATTAGTGTTGTTTGATCACTCTAAACAAACTTTTAACTAATTAATTTCATATAGTATTCTTTCGTTAAACAAGACTAGAATGGGACAAATTAATTTATTGTTTTATCACTTAAGCCAAGGCGAATCTTGTTTACTTTTTGTTCTTTCACGAATTTGAATAATTAAGAATAACGACATTTACGATGTAATTCCTACGTGACTAACGTGTAAATAAAATCAACTAACTTACTTTTAGGTATCACGTTGCATATATTGTTTGGTAATGAAATTGTGAAAAAGGAAGAGCTAGTAGAGGTCGCACTTGCGCTAGAATAGCAATTCCTCCCTAAAGGGAACGTTATTTTAGTACCCTCGCTCCCGAACTCATTTCTGGTACACGTAGACCAATTTGGGCATGGGTAAACTTATGATTCATGCTAAATATCCCTTGAACTCTACTTGGGAGAAAGGCATGAACGAGGTTTATGAGTTTTTCCTAAAACTCATTGGCGACTCCTTACTAGTTTCTTACAAAAAAATATAATGATAGGATCAACTCTAATTCAAGGTCCCCCAAACAGTCAGGAATTCAAATCCTAACACGCCTTAAAACGGTGTAAAGTCCTAGGCTTTTAAAGGGTCATGGGCATATATAGAGGAGAAGGATCCCCAACGACGGGCACACCCTCCTCACAATATTAATCGTTGAACTTGTGCATTAGAAAACATTTTTAAAAATTTCCTAAAAAAAGGAAGAAATGTATGAATAGTGTTATTACCTCAAAGTGTGTGATAGTATTTTAAAACGAGCAAGCCTATTTTATGTAGTTGATGAACAAAAAACGTTTATCAATTCACTATTTCGTAAATAAAGCAATTTAAAAAACCCAATCACACGACGTTTTCATAATTAAATTAACAATTCTAGGTACCACACTACCACATTTAATGAAAAGTAGTTGATTGATTTATATATTGTCCCTTGATAAACGATACTCTTAGGTCTTGTTTGGTTCACCTTATTTTTACTGATCTGATCTGATCTGGTCTGGTCTGATCTGATCTGATTGTCTTATTTGACCAAACTTTGACCTTAAGTGTACGATAATCTATAAGAAAAAATATATCAAGTGGGATCTTGTTAGATTCGTAATAATGTGTAGTTTATTAATATGTAATTTTCACAATTTTTTCATTACGAAATTAAGAATATTTAGTGATAAAAAACCGCATATAAAACGATGTTCTGATCTGAACATATTTTTTCTGATCTGATCTGATCTAAACTTATTTTTTCTGAAATAAGTAAAAATAAGTTGAACTAAACAAGGTCTTAGTCGTACTTGGAATTATCTTTAAAACTAGTGGGGGGGGAAAGGTTTTGCTATACATAGCCCTAAGGGCTATGCATAAAAAAACAACAATTTCATAGTATTAATGCTCTTTTTCTTATTCCAATGAAATCTAATATTATTATTGAATAAAAAAACTGATTCATTTAAAGTAGTGTTATTGATAGGATAAATTGTCATAACACTACATTTAATAATGCATTGAAACTATTTTTTTTTTCTGAAAGACAGTAAAAAACCACTAACATGATATTAAAGAGAAAAATTAAATATAATAATACTGATTATAAACTCCTACAAATCTTTTTTTTTCCACATTCTTCAAAAAACAACATTTTTTATTAATATCCTACCACCGTTCAAAAAAAAAAAGGTTAATAACCATCTATTGATAAGTAGTACATAAAAATCTCCATTATTTCACATCTTCATGACACATCTTGATGTAGTCCAAAATTTTTGAAGACATCTTCTTTAATAATTTTCCAATTAGATCACCTGTCAAAGTACAAAAGAAAAAATGTCTATATAAAAATTTTGTGAAAAAGAATAATATAGGTAAAAAACGAACGATTTGCCAAATTGGTATTAATTAATAAAGAAATTACTAAAATAGTGTTCACTTGAAAATATTTCTCAAAGTGGCGTTCACGTAGGTTCGGAAATTACAAAGCTATGAGTTAAAGCATGATAGCTAAAATCCTAGAAACATAATTGAAGAGACAATTTTTTTCTAATAAAATCCTAATAAATATGTATACCATCAAATTCTTTATCTTTAATGTTTACAATATCTTAATTTGTGTAGCCTTGAGCCTTAATCAATAATGCTTCCGTATTTTAATAGCAAAATGGATACAATAAGCACTAACGAAAGTATGAATAATGAATACAAAGTAATATATATACGTGTTTAAAAAATTTCTAGCATTTTTTGTATGGATATACCTTTTTTAAAAAAAAAATCTATGTAACATGATACATAATGCATTATTTAGTCAGACGTAAATCATCAAAGGGCACTTATTAATCACCATAGTGTTCTTGAAACCTAGTAACCTACTATATCTAGTTCTACATTGTAATATCAATTTGGAGACTATATTACACTATATTACTAAATAGCTCAAAACATGTCATACTAAGTCAAAAACTCAATCTCTAAACACGACAAATTTTTTTAGCACCATTTATTAATATGGAGATAATGAACAACTTTCAAGTACGAATGTTTTTTAAAATTAGACTTTAAAATGAATCGATAAAAAAATTATAGGTTTGAGTTTTCCGAACCTACATGGACACTACTTTGAGAAATATTTTCAAGTGAATACTATTTTAGTAATTTCTTTATTTTTGAACACTAATTTGGCAAATCGTTCGGTAAAAAACAATCTGAATATTTTAAAAGGCAAAGAAATATTACCTAAAACTTCAAAGTAAAAATAGGATTTAATCCTAGATCGGCTTCCATTTTCTTTTGTTTTTTTTTTGTGTTGTAGAAGAAGCACCTTCATTTGTATCATTCAAAGAAAATATATTTTCCTTATTAGGACAGATTGGTTTAGTATGACCGGGTTGCTTGCATATAGAACAACATTTAGTTTTCTTCTTTCCTGATTCTTTTCCACCCCGCTCACGCTTCTTTGGTGGACGTCCCTTTGTTTTGGATTTAGGGGGACACAATACATCATCTTCACCGACACTAATGTCATTGTGTATAGTTTCGAAGTCTTCCTCCAATATCATGGCTTCTTTTATTATCTCTTGATTATCAATTGTAGGTTGCAACCTATCACAATGCCATCGTAGAGGTAGGTAGGAGGAAGGGATCTTGAAACAATCATTATGCAACAACACTCGAAATATAGAGACGACAAAGTATACCCCAAAATTCGAAATTTTTGCAACTGCATGACATTGTCGTTCCATCCCAAAAAACTCTACGATTTATACCCTTTTCCCCTTCAAAATATCTTACAATGCATACATTGCCTTCTATTTGGATAATAGAATATTGACTTGCTTTTATTAATTCATCTTGAAACTTTTTGAAAGCAAATGGAGTGAAGACTTCAAAAGCCTGACCTTCCAATGGTGACTTTGTTTTCATGCTAATGGGGCTGAGAGTAGCAACCATATTGCTATGTGATTGTCCTTGGCAAATTTCTTGAACAGCAAGAGCTACCTAAAAATGACAAGTTGTAACATGAACTATTAGAAATAATTAAAATAGTAGTGAAATATAATTTAAAAAAGAAGAATATGAACCTGTTTCACAAAGTCGGTCAAAGTAGATACATGAGAGGAAACAAATCTCTTAATAAAAGCGTTTATGCTCTCTGATCTTCTGGTGGTTATCATGCCTCTAAAAAATAATCTCTAAGATAAGCCGAGGCCCAAAAATATCTCACATTATACAAGTTTTGAACATGTTTATTCTCTTGCAGGTTATACTTCGCAATCATCAAAGTCCAACTATGCTCAAATTCTTCCGTCAGAGTCATCTTATAAAGATTGTTAAAAATCAGCACACTATTTTTGATAATCCTTTCACAAAAGTGTTGCAAGCCAACAACTGAATTTTGATGTGATATGCCATATACAATAACTATGTTTTGTAGTTGGCATTTCAATTTCAATTGCTTTAGACATCCAAGGATCTTGATCAGTGAAGATAGTCTTTAGGGCACTCTTCATTATACCAACAAAAGTCTATTTTACACATGATAAAAAGATAATTGAAGTCTAATATGTAATGCACTTTGTCAATATGAGCTATAAGAGTGATTGTTTCCGTTAAAATAGAGAGAATAATTAGGCTATGATTTACAGAATCATTGACTAACATATATTCCTAAAAAGGAGGGCAAAAAATATTTACCAAATACCGAAGATATTTACCAAATATTGAAGATATTTATTTTGATTAACTCAATCTTATTAGGAGTACTTTCCTACGTTAAATGATAAGCTACATTGTTATCTTTAAATTATCATGAGTACTCAAACTTATCATGAGTACTTTCCTATTATAAATTATACATAGACATTATTATCTTTAAGCAATTATACATGCAAATAATATATAAAAATAAATCCAAGTTACCAGCTTAACAATAATAATTAAGGTTGTAAGCTAAAAAAAAAAAAACTACATATATTAAGTTCATACCTTCATTAACCATGAAAAAGTAGAAGTTGGTTTCATTGTGGAGGAGTGCACACCCAAACAAAATAGTCCTCCCATGATTGTCAACTCCAACAAAAATTCCACAAGGCATGTTATATACATTAACTTTGTAAGTGGTGTCAAACACAACTATATCACCATACTTTTGATACCAATCAAAACTTTGAGCCGAACACCAAAACACATTTTCTTACCTTCTTTTTTCATCATCTGTGTAAGCATATTGAAACTTATTATTTTCCTCATTGGCAAATTTCATATACTCTAAAAGACTCTTGGAATCATTTGCTCCAAGCAACCTCTTAACTCGACCAAACAAATTTCGAACATCTTTCTGAATAAATGGTAGTTCACTATGTCCAACATTTTTTTCTAGCTCCAAGACCCGTATTATTTGTCTAACCGATAGTCCCGCCTCCTTAAATAACAAAATCTTCTTCTCATCTTCAAGATTGATGTTTCTATTTGACGGGAGAAAACGCATCGCTTCTGGTGGCAACATTACATGATTGTGTTGCTTGGAATACTTAGTGACATGCCATTCTTCTGGAAATATACCGAAACATTTTTTCAATGTAATTCGCATATGAGCTTTACAATCACATTTTGATGATTCCTTATTTCTTTGAGGTTTAGAAAAGTCAACTACCTTCAAAGGTTTTTTCCCTCCGCAATGACAATAAAAATCACGTCTGATAGTCTTACCATGTCTAGTGTCCGAACGATCTTTACGAACAACAAAACCATGATGTTTAGCATACTTGTTATAAAAGACGAATGCCTCTTCTTGAGTCTCAAAGGTTTGGCCAATAAAAGGTTCATCATCATTATTTTCCTCTTCAATGAAAGGTTCATTCAAATCAAAATCAAGCATTGTAAATTCTGTAAACATGAAAATAAGTAGCCTTTTATTAACAAAACATAGCTTACTGCATATAAATTAGAAACAACTCAAACAAAAGCTATAGCATCTACTTAAAAATCATCACAATAGCATATATATTACTACCCAAAAATATTTCAACCCAAATTGATAAACCTTAAAATATTCGTCAAAAAATTTAGGCCAAATTTCATTTTATTATATGGTGTTATTCAATATGGCAGAAGTTAACTCAATGTCTATATTCGTTAAATTTCAACTCCATATATTACCCCCCAAATCAATCACTTTTCTTTCCAATTTCATGGGTTTCATTGAATTGGGATTATGCAAAAGAAACAAATTCAAACAAATTCTATAACTGAAACTATACAATTATGCAAAAGAAGAAGGAAAAAAAAAATAGACTTTTGGCAAAAGTAATACTTTGAATTAAACACGAGCAATTGCCGAAACACCATAGATCGAATGTTATGTGTTATTGTTTTGTACTTCATATAGCTGATTATATTATACTGGGAAGATGAATTGAAAGTGGATGATTCAGTTTTTTTCTTGGGAAAATGCATTTTCATTGTAATTATTAGTATAGGTGTGAATCGTATTAATAACTTAATTGGGTAAATTGATTAATCAGTTATATTCTGTATTTTCAAGAAAATATAAGAGTATAAAATATGTAATTAATGCTCATATATAGCATTTGCCAAAAAAAAAAGAAAAAAAAATATGTTTCCTCCATTCTCTTTGAACCCAACTTTAAAGTGAGAGTAATCTTTTCTATTACACCAAGTTTAGTTTGATAGGAAGTACAAAGTATTTCGTACTTGCATAAAAATGTACATTATATAAATGAGAATAAATTCTGATTGTTAATATTATTAAGATGCGCCACTTAACATCATACACCTGTTATTAATATTCTTCTTGTTTACTTTTTTTTTTACATTTTGATCCTTTGGAGGTTTTTAACGTTTAACCTCGTCTCTCTCTCTCCAAAATCTCCACACTCTATTGATACTGCATACTCTGAAATTTACATAGAAGCAGCATCTGAGCTTTCTCTCCTCCATTGAAGCAGCTTATAAGGTAAAATGTTTGAGTTTTCTTCTTATTTTATCAATTTATCGAATATTAATTTCATACTCTACTGTATATCGTTAATTTGATTGTCAGTATAGTTAATTTAGGGTTCTTCTTGGTTGGATTATTTAATTATATGTTATAATTACTGAATTAATCATAATGAAAAGATTTGTTGATTTTCTTTATCGAGAAGAATTTCATGTGAATTTCATGTTTTAGGTAATTGATTTTTATGTGTCAATTGCGGTTCGTAGTTATACTCCGTATTAATGTGAGTGAGATCATAGACATTTCTTCTTGTTTGTTGTATGGAGATCAATTAATTGGTGCAGCCGTGTAGGTAGTATTGATTTCCTTGCCAAGAGCATGGTATTTTGAAGATTTCGTTGCCTGTGTTGTGGAATGAGATTATCACAGCATCTAGCATTAGCGTTGGCATGAAACGTTTTTGTTTTGATACCCACCCACAATGTCAAGTCTAAGCTATTGGCATCAAACTTGTCAATTATGTAAAAGTTTTGGAGTGGGTGCATTAGAATTTACAGGTTTCGTATTTTGAAGGATGATGCTCAATTGCCCATGTCAATTCCAAGTGTTTGCATTTATGTTTGACATGGGTGCAAATGAGGAGATGAGTGTCAAGACTCAAGAGTAACAATGTCTAGCTATGGACTATGACTTTTCAATCTGTCACTTAATACTCGTCAGTCGTCACACAAACCAAACTGTTTGTACTGCACTGGTGTTTTCCTGAGTACTTATGGGTCTTTCATTAATTTTTGTGTAGGGGATGCATCATCTCCAAAGCCAACTATCTTCCTATTGTGCAACTTCTGTAATATTGTAAGACATTGCATCTGATGGATATCCTAGATGATCATCATATAGAAGGACGTGATGAAATTGATCCAAAAGTGAAATGCAATGAGTCTGCTGGTGCTGGAACCACAAAAAGAAAGGAGTTGCACGGGACAGTTCATGTTAATGCCTTATCTGGTACATGGAGAGATAACCCTCATGGAGCTGTATTCCATGCTTACAAGATTGATTTCTCCTGTGATTGTGAGTTGTACCCTGGTTTTGTACTCTTGACGGAGTTGAAGCTAGATGAGGATGTAGCTAATACCAAAGTTGATTTGTATTTACTTGACAAGATGGTTAAATCATCAGTTATGCCATGTGGTGAAGTGCATTTGGAGTCGGACCAAATAAGGCGGGCTATGCGCTTTCATGAACTTCTCTTTAATGGGTTATATGGAAAGTTGTTTCTAGGATCAAAAGCAAGTGGGGTCAATAGAGAGTTTCTTCTCCAGAGAGACAATGATCTTCTGTGGAGTACTTCATACATATATTTGATCTTACCAATCAAGTCATTAGACATTGTAGATGATGGTTCATGGAGCATTGACTGGAAGGGAATTGATTCCTGTGTCTCTGTGGTAGAGTTTATGAGGAATTCTGCTTGGTTGAGTGCTGAGCAATCTGGTGCCCAATATAGAAGCTCGATTGGTGACCCCTCTTCAGCAGGTGGCGCTGGTGAGAATACTGTACATTTGGCTAACCGTTCATTGTCTATAGAAAACTTGGAAGAAACTGTCGTTATGTCCATCCACACTGGAAGGATATACTATGTTCGAGAAGTCTTGGTCAATACCTCTGCTGAGAGCCCTTTTGATTCTAATGTTGATGGGGCACCGTCAAAGTATACTAGTTTTGCTGATTACTTTAGCAAAAAGTATGGAATTGTGCTGTTCTATCCAGGACAGCCATTGTTACTGTTGAAGCAGACTCATAATCCATTTAATCTTCTCTCAGATAGTGAGGCTAGTGCGTTGCGTCGAAAAATGTTGTCAAGTGGTGATCTGGTTGACTCAAAGCGACAGAATCATGTTCACATGCCACCTGAGCTATTAGTCTGTATTGATATCCAACTATCAACTCTAAGGGCATTGTATTTAATACCTTCTTTGATTCACAGGTTGGAGTCTGTGATGTTAGCCTGTCAGCTAAGGAAAGAGATTGCCTATAACTTTCGTATGCCAAGCTCACTGATTTTGGAAGCACTTACAACTCTCAGATGCTGTGAAGATTTTTCTTCAGAGCGTTTAGAATTGCTTGGTGATTCAGTGCTAAAGTATGTTGTGAGCTGCCATGTTTTTCTTAAAAGTCCCTATGAACATGAAGGAAAGTTATCTGGCCAGCGCCAGAGTACTATTTGCAATGCTAACTTACATAAATTGGGAACTAAGCGTAAGCTACACGAATACATTCGTGATAGTGCATTTGAGCCTCGTCGATGGGTTGCTCCTGGGCAGCTTTCAGTCCATCCGGTTCCTTGTTCACATGGTGTTGACACATCTGAAGTGCCTTTAGATAGCAGATTTCATACTATTGACGAAAATACCGTACTTGGAAAGAGCTGTGACAAGGGACATCGGTGGTTGGTTTCCAAAAGCATAGCTGATTGTGTTGAGGCAGTCATTGGAGCATACTATGTTGGCGGTGGATTAATGGCTGCTCTCCATATGATGAAATGGCTAGGAATTGAAGCTGAACTGGGGCCTGGTTATGTTGACAAAGCTATTAATCTGGCATCTGACCGATCTTGCATCCAAAAAGTTGATCAGATTACAGCTTTGGAATCCAAACTCGGGTATGACTTTTCTACCAAGGGACTGCTACTCGAAGCTATTACTCATTTAACAGAGCAAGAATCTGGGGTGGGCTACTGCTATGAGAGGCTGGAGTTTCTGGGGGATGCTGTGCTGGATGTGCTGATAACATGGCATCTTTATCAAAACCACACAGATATTGATCCAGGAGAGTTAACTGACCTACGTTCAGCTTCTGTGAACAACGAAAATTTTGCCCAAGTCTCTGTCAGGCGAAACCTGTATCAGCATCTTCAGCTTTCTTCCGAGTCAATCTCAAAACAGATAACAGAGTACGTTACACTGGTTATGGATGCAGAAGATTCTAAGTCGCTGCAAGGAAGGCAATGCCCCAAGGTTCTTGGTGACCTTTTGGAGAGTATTGCCGGGGCAATACTAATTGATACCAAGCTTAATGTCGAAGAAGTGTGGAGAATATTTTTCCCTTTATTATCTCCTATTGTAACACCTGATAATCTTGAGTTACCTCCCTTCCGTGAATTGAATGAATTGTGTGATCGCCTTGGATACTTTTTCAAAGAACATTGTATCAATGACAAAGATGTGGTGCTTGCAGAATTGAGATTACAACTGGAAGACATTTTATTGATAGGAGAAGGAATTGGTAAAACTAAAAAAGCTGCCAAGGGACAAGCTGCTCTTTATTTGTTGAAAGGACTGGACAACAAAGGAATGTCATATGATAAATGTGTTTTGAAGAGGAAAAAACAGGAATTGAATGATGTCAGTTCAGGCCTGATCGATATGAAATTCAGTGTCATGAAAAGCAAACATACATCTCACAAGAAGCAAAAGGTCTCTCAGCTGCCTTGTGGAGATAATGAAGCTCCTGATGCTGCTATTCCAGTAATTGCAGCTGTTAAAACAGATAAAGGGGGGCCAAGAAACTCATTGTATGAACTGTGTAAAAGATTGCAGTGGCCTATGCCTAGCTTTGAAACTACTGAACAAAAGTCAAGATCGCCTATTGAATTCGGCGAAGGCTCAGATAAAAGGACCGGCTTCAATGGTTTTACGTCGAAAATCTCTTTGCTCATACCTGACTCTGGTGTTATGGAGGCCATGGGGGAGCAAAGAGCTGATAAGAAAAGTTCTCAAGATTCGGCAGCACTGCACTTGCTTTATGAGTTGGAACAGCAGGGAAAACTAGTTATCAATTGCTAATAAGTAGGTGGAACATTAGGGTAGACTTAATGAACTGAAATGGCAAGCTTTGATGGATGCTAGTTATTAGGATTCAAACTCTTGCTTCCTTCTGCCTTTAGGCTTAGATGGTGTAGGACAAGCTATGTAATGGAGTCCTGAATAACTAAGAAGGATAGATTACCCTGTTATTTAGTCTTAACGAATTTGAATTTAAGATTATGGCCCTGTACATAATGGTGTAACATTACTGTAACTGCGAACACCTTATTGTTCTGTCTTGCCTGCTGCTTGATCATCGTCATTAGGACATTTAATAAACATCTTGTCTGTAGATGTAACCTTTATTCTTCCAGTGTATTTTCCCTTCATAAACCTCTTTAATCCCCCTTTTAACATTGAAGAATATGATTGCAGCAGGTCGTCATGGGTGTCACTCTTGATTTACAGGCTTTTATTCTTCGTGCTCGAGTATTGAAGCTGTATAGAGAAGCACTGAGAACGGCTAGGCGAGCCCCTTGTCAATCCAGAGGTCCCACTCCCCCTTCTCTCTCTCTCTCTCTCTCTCTCTCTCTCATGTATGTTATGTTTTCTGCTGTTGTTTTTATCAGTCACGAGAGCTATTGCAAATTCCTTTATTAGTTATTGCAGTTGCTTGTTATATTTCACCTTGGTTGCCTAAAGCAGGCAAAATAATCCATTCTGGGTACTTCATGGTCCTAATCTTTGGGTAATTTTACTTTGGGTACCTGAGAATTAATTTATTGTTCCACTTTGATTCATCACCCTAACCTTGTCAATTTTCCAATCTTTCCATCATTAATTGCTGGTCATGATAGTGGTTGTAATACATTTGCAGCTTTGTGTGTTATGGATTCATAATGTACGTTTTTTTTTTTTTTATGATCTTCAGTGGATCATGCCACTTAACAAGTAATCTTGTGCCATTTCTGGTGAAAGTTCTGAAGGAGATTATGGTTGTCCTTGCAATTGCAGTTGAATTGCAGCAAACAATAAGGCAAGAGATAGAGAAGAACCGGGATTGCCAGGACAAGCAGAAGATTCGTTTCCTGCTAAGTGAAGGGAAGGAGAGAGTGAAACGCTTAGATGAGATGCTCGATATGCAAGGTTGCTGAGAATGTTGACCATTCATTGCTTTGGGGGAAATGTTCTATTACAAGAGGATATAATTAAATCACAAAGCTCGTTGGCTTGCTGGCTACCTAATGTACTCACTGTGGTGGTTCAGCCATGATCTGTTGACTGTTATAATCTTTTTTAAATGAGGATATATATGTGGAATACGTTGCAAGAAATTTTTTTGTAACATTATGCTGCCAGAGTCTTGAAATCTTATGAGTTTCTTGCGCTTTAATTTTCAATTTAATTTTTAAAGGCAGGTGTTTTATGAATAAATCAAAGAGTCTAAGCAATTTCGTCACTTTCGTGTACCCGTTGGACAGCTGCAGACTAATCCAACTAAACATTTTTTTAAGAAGGCAAATATATTACCCCGTGATTCATATAAGAGTTGCAGTCTGAAAAAACGAGTGCTTTTATGGTACGAAAATGTATTGTAAAGCGTATAATTTGAATTGGAAAAGATTTGAAACTTCATGCCATTGGACTGAAGGCAAGTTAATCAGTATCCGCACTCCAATTGCATGAATTAACAACAGTAATGTACACTAGATCGGTTTGCAAACAAAGAAATTGAATTAGCCAGCACAATAATAGTCGTCCAGGCTCAGTTGCATGAGCTTGACAAGAAGTGCAATGAAAGCATTAGAGGAGTTCCCTTGCCATGTTTTATTGTTGTAAACTACTAGTAATTTGTAAGGACCTTGACCCTCATTAGCATCAAAATACGAAAATAGAAGTGTGCACTGTATATATCACTGAGTCAAGGGGCAAATCTTGCAATATATTTCCACAATATTTTCTTCTTCCCTGCTTATTAGGCATGGGCTAATAAGTTTGGCAACCAAGGTCTATTAATGTGCAGCACAGCAAATCCAGCTCAAACTGGTAGCACATGTATACTGTGTCTTCAAATAGGCCGAGTAGCATATCCCCTGTCAACCATCTTTTCCACCAACTCCTCGTGCAACTTAAGCTGCCCTGCATTTCTCAACAGATTCAAAACCGTGTTGTATAGATGCAAGCTTGGCACCAAACTCTTCATCTCCATCATCTCTCTGAAATACTTGTAAGCTTTGGACCAATGCCCCATTGCACAAAACATCGAGATCAATGTCTTATAAGTATTCACATTAGGCTCTACGCCATTCTCATCCATTTCCTCCTTCAGCTTTAGAACCATATCAGTCGACTTAGATTCCACAAACATCTTCATCAGCACATTGTACGTCACTGTATTAGGCTGACACTTCAATTCTTTCATCTTTGCAAACAAACGATGGGCAGAATTCACATCCTTGGCCTTAGCTATACAGATGAATATTGGGTTAAAACTATGCGCATTAGGAACACATCCCTTGATCGCCATTTGGCGAATCAACTTAGTAGCCTCATCCCGATTCTCATTCCTACAATGGGAGTCAATCAGAAAGTTATAGGTGATCACATCAGGGTCACACCCAAGCCTTTTCATCTGATTAAAAGCCTGCAAGACCTTTTCAGTCTTCCCCACCTTAGCATGCACCCTCATCAAATTATTGAAGGTCACAACATTTGGCTGACAACCCTTGTCAATCATCTCCGAGAAAACATCATGAGCACGAGTAATTTGCCCGTGCCTGCACAAAGCATCAATAACAATCGTATAAGTATACACATTAGGCTCAACGCCCGCCTTCTTCATCTCACCAAAAACCCTCTCAGCCTCAGGAATATTCCCCACCTTACACCACCCATTCACCAAGCTAGTATAAAGCACAACATCAAGTTCAAATTTATCTTTCACACTATCGAACAACGATTGAGCATCGGCCGCCTTCTTTTTCTTACTTAAAATGCTAATGATAGCCGTGAATGCCGCCTTATCAGGGCGGCAACCATAATCCTCCATTCGATTAAATGCGTGTATCGCCTCGGCTACCATCCCTGCCCTAACATACCTCCTAACTAAGGAATTAAAAACATCTACAGAAATTGGTAAATTACTAGTTTTCATCAATTCAATCAAACTCCATGCTAAATCAAACTGCCTTACCTTCCCAGCTAAATCGATCATTTCTGCAAAAGCCTCATCCGACAAGACAAAACCGCCATTGTTATGCTGGCCAACTACCCAATTGAAGAAAGCGAGAGCTTGGAGAAAGGGAACGCCATGGCGGACAGTACGACACCGTTCGATAACAGAGGTTACGATTTCAGGGGAGAGGGAATCAACGGTGGAAAGCTTCGAGAAGGAGAGGGAAAGAGAAGGGATGGTGAAATTAGGGTTTACAAAATTAGGGTTTTCTTCAAAATTAGGGTTTTTACGGAAATGGTCTTTGATTAAAGAATGGAAATTTTCCGCGATTAGGGTTTCTTGAGGAGAGAGATTGGAAGGTTTTCTGGGTTGTTCTGGAACTTCAATATCATCTTCATTGTCAGATTTCTGGGGTTGCAGTGTCTCAATGGCGGATGTGGAGAAGGGTTTAAGGGAAATTTTAGAGAGAGAAAATGATAATCTTGTTCTAATTAAAGCCATTTGAATCAAGTGAATTAATGTTGAACAAAGCTTTAATTTTTGTTTATGGATGTTTGAAATGGGAGAATCAAGCAAGCTTTCTACAATGGAGGAAGCTGAGATTTTTGGAACGTTTATGCCGAGAGCTTGAAATGTGACAAAAACAAACTTAAAAGTAGGGTTGAGAGATTTTTGGAACGTTTATGCCGAGAGCTTGAAATGTGACAAAAACAAACTTAAAAAGTAGGGTTGAGCAAAATTATCCGAAAATCTGTAAATTCAAACCGTAATCGAATCGAAAATTAGGGTATCCGTTCTGATAACTATAACAGTTTGGGTATTCGATCCGATAATTTGTTATCAGATACAGTTATCGGGTATCATTTTAAAATTAACGGTTATCCGATCCAATTCGATAAACAATTTTTTCTCTTTTTTCCTACTTAAATCTATTTATCCAAAATCTAAACTCTTACTTTACTTCATATTCACTTCATAATTTAAATGATTAGTAATTTAGTCATGATCATGTAATTAGTGTTGAATGATATCATAATAACTAAATTATAAAGTCTAAATTTTCATTATTAGATATCATATTGGGTATCCAATAACCAATCCGAAAATCCGGGTACTCGAACTTATCGGTTCGATTAATTGATATCATTTTTAGTGTTATTGGTTATCGGGGTTCGATTAATTGATATCGTTTTTAGTGTTATTGGTTATCGGGGTTCAATTAATTGATATCATTTTTAGTGTTAGTGGTTACCGGGTTCCCGAACCGATAGTGCTAACAGTACGGGTACCCGACTCATACTTACCCCCTACTGTTAAAACCCTTTTACAGAATACACAATATAAGACCATGTCTAATGCTCAGACTTGAAGGAATATTTTTAGGAGGAAGAGAGTATTTTTGCAAATGATACCAATAAGAGTTGGTATCTAAACTTAGCAACTCCAAAAAAAAGTTGCTAAGTTTAGATACCCAACTTTGAGTCTCATTTGACAAAAAGTATGAGCCCCTTATCAATATTATAAGGGAAATTCCCATTGGTACACCTCTGGTTTTGACTTTTTCCAATGGTACACTACTTAATTTTTGACTTCTTAATGATACACCCCAGGTTTAGACTTATTAAGTGACGTGATTAATATGTTAATAAACCTATAATTTTGATGATTAAGTTAAAAAAAAAAAGCTTAGGCATTTCACTTTTTCCTCCCTTTTCAAACATTAACCATGGTTAATATTTTCTTAAAATGCTTAACTAATATTACCACTAAATTAGTTTTACAACTTATAGATTACTAAAGATAATTTGATATCTTGATTGCCTCCTTCATGACCTCTTGCATTGCCTTCGACTTCTTTAACTTCTGGTTCATTGTAGTCATCTGATGCATTCGATGTGTATGAGCAATCGAAATTCAGAATGCACCATCACCTTGTGACATAGGAAAATGTTGGGACATGGGAAGTGTTGAATCACCTTGAGAAATTTGAATATTCTCAAAAGATGGGACAACATTTTGAGAATATGAATAATTAGGATTTTGTGGTGGTTGAAAAGGGAAAGAAGTGAAAGTACTTGGATTTGAGAAATTGAGATTTGTGAACCATAATTTGAAAATTGTTGGAATTTTGTATCTAAATCTGAATTGAGCTCAATTTGAAGGTTAGAATAGTAAGGTTGAAGATTTGGATTATTTTGGGGTTGTGATGAGTTGTGAGATTTTGTGGGGGGGGGGGGGGTTTCTATTGGATTTTGGAATATTCATCTCTACACAATTTGATTTACAAGAGAGTAATATTCACTTTCATAAAAATTGTTTCAAAATACCTCAATATTGGACTCATTTTATAGAGCAAAATAAAAAAGAGCCATTGATTTTTTTTATTTTTTGATTTTTAGAATTGTATTTTAAAAATTATGGTTGTTACAAAAATTACAACGGTTATAAATTCAAAGTAAATCTCAGCCGTTGATCAAATAAATGGGTGTCTCAATCTCCTTGTGCCACGTCATCAAGGACAAACCTTAAACCCAAAAAGTGGGTATTTTGTTATTCTATAACCTCCCTTCACAACCGGTTACAACAATAACGTGGTTATAAGAATTTTGCTCCAAAATTTTCTCTCTCCTCAATATTTAATTATTTTCCTAGTTTATCTCTCTTAATAACCATGCACAATGGTTATTCGTTGTGCATACTCTAAGTAGTATGTGGTACTATATTAAATTTTTTTTGTTAAAAAATGTAGAAATTAGCGAGTATATATGGATATGGATGGTGGGGCGGGGATGGATTTTAGCTTGGACCAGTTGGGGCGAGGATAGATGTACTGTACTCGCCATGGGTGGTGGGCGGGGATGGGTATGAGATTTTTAGGAGGATGGATGTGGAGATACTATCTTCCGCCTCCAACCCGCCCCATCGACATCCCTACACAATATAGTAAACAATGTAAACGACATCGCATTAGTGACTAAAACTAGTCAATGTAAATTGTAAAGGAAAAATTGATTTAATAATCTCAACTTTGACCGATTTATTTTTAAGAATCCTAACTTTTGATTTTATCTAACAATCTGAATATTAAGGGGGGTGACTTGATCCACATGTAATTTTTTCAACGCAACCCCTTCCTCTTTCCAATAGCCCTCTTCCCTT